AAATGCAATACCTACCTCAGGTGAAGGTGGGCGGGGTGGAGGCTGGGCTGGAGGTTCCCTACGATAGATTCAAGTCTTAGGATGCCACATAGTCCCTGGAAAGCATGATGGGTGGGGTGGTTTATAGATATGGGGAGGGAAACATATTCTACCTACCTGGGATTGGGGCTGCAAAACACCTTATGGGCCTGGGTTGGTGTGGTAGGTAAGGTGGCCTTTGGGCAGGTAGACTGACTCTGGGGATCCCTAGCTAGAGTTTGGAGTCACAGGATTCCACAAAGTCCTGGGGAAGTAGTGGGTAGGTGGGAGACAGGTTTTAGGGATAACTATCTGGGTTTGGATTTGCAGGACTTCATGTGATCCTAGGTTGGTGAGGTGGATGGCGTGGACTTTTCATATACAAACTGTAACAAATTTGTAGCCAAGTCTCAGGCTCACTAGCTTAGAACCTTATTTACACTTTATACTCAAACTCTCAGCTGGAGTCCCTACAAAATAATGATGGGAATCTGTACCGTAAATTAAGGGGCTTCAAACAATAGCAGAAAGAAGAGAGACATTTCTATTGTGTTCTTTCATGTGCACGCTAGAATTATGGTATCAGCAGATCCTGGGGGCTCATTAAGATGAGGCCTTCTGGATGACAGGTGTGTTTGTCCAAAACAGATTACAGAACTATCTCTTTCTGTGTGTCTCTACTTTCCCTCCCTTCATTTGTATACTCTTTCAGTTTTTCTCCCCTTGATACAACCTTGGGGACCTGTCCTAAAGAAATACCTACCTGGTGTTTGAAATTAAAAAGGTAAAATATCTGATTTTTGCCTTTCAACGCATTGATCAAACATCATTAACGTTGATCTTAGAATATATGTTTTGCTTTATTTTAAGGTAGAATAATGTCTCCTTCTAAGACTATCCTACCCTTGTTTTATCTTGATCCAAGAAAACTTGGTAATTCTCAAGTACTCAGTTTATTATGTCTTTCTCCCACCTCCCTTTCTTACTTTCCTTTTTCTCTTTACATCTTTTGTCTTTCCTCATTTTTCCTTCCCTTTTCACTTCTCTCTCATCTTTCTCTTCTTTCACTTTCTTCTTTTCTTTGTCAAAGAGTATGGTATTATGGAGAGATTTTGGTATCAAGATTCTAATTTGGAGTCATGGATCTAAATTAATACCTATGTGACCTCAGCAAATCTGTTACCTTATTGCTAAATGGAGGTAACGTCTTTCCTACAATGGAGTGAAAAATGTGGGTAAAGTAAAATGACATATATGTGGTGGTTTGAAGAGTTATTCCCCATAGGCACCAAGTATTTGAACACTTGCTCAGTTGGAAGTGCTGTTTGGGGAGGCTCATGGAACCTTAGGAGGTGTAGCCATGCTTGAGGGAAACACATCATTGTGGGCTTCCAGATTTCATAGCCTTGCCTCACACTTTGAGTTTGATATTTCTGCTTCCTGCATGTGCTTGAAGATGTGAGTGCTCAGCTTTCTGCTCCAGTTGCCTCCTGCCATGACTTCCCTGCCATGATGCACTCTTACCTCTGAAACTGTAAGCCTAAATAAAGTCTTCCTTTCATAAGTTGTCTTGGTCATGGTCTTTTATCACAGCAAAAGAAATTAATACAATATACATGTATGAAAATGTCATAATTAAAACTACCAATTTGTATTCTGACTAAATACCATTGTTAGTTGTTCAACCTTGCAAGATAATCAATATTCAGGAATACTATAGTTCATATATTTCAAACAGATTAAACCAATGTTATGTGGGTGTGATAGTGTCAAAAAATAAACTGAGCGGTCAATATTCTGGAGTTTTGTAAACCTGAAGTATGACTAATGACTATATTTTCTCCTCCAGTTTATCAAAGGTAGAAGATACAAAAACAGTACTTTTTATAAGGAAATAAACTTAAAACAGGTTGAATGACCCATATCAAGTTTGCTACTTTGGGAGAAAAGACTATCAACTTTAATACAATAGCTGTTAGGCAGGTAGGACTTATTCTTTTTGTCGCTATTTCTTAAAAAAAGAAGTTATTGAGAAAAATTAAGAATTTTTTTCATTATCACACAATGTGCCTGGGAATTAAAAAAATCCAAACCTAGATCTGCCCAAGAAAGTCACATTCTATTACACTAGTGACTTCTGAAATTTAATGTGCATCAGAACACCCGTGGTGATCACTCCTCAGGCGGATTCCTGGATGGCCTCTTGGAACATGTACTTTTATAAACATACAATAAAAGATGATGATGGTCTAGGAACTGCACTTAAGAACATTAGTTCATTGGCTCTGTTGAACAGCATCTTCAAATCTCATTGCTAGGAACTGAAAACTACCAATGCAGGAATCAGTGCTTGCTTGTTTTTTATCTGGCTATAAACCAAAGCAGTCTCAATTTACTTCCATTGTAAACTTATTATCTGAAAGATTAAATAAATGTAGTATTTAGGAACATTTTACAACTGTATGACATTCTTGGAAAAATTAGTAAATTAAGCCTCCCTTTCCTGAACTAACCACAAAATTAAATGTATCATCCAAATTGGGTTTGTACAATTAACCAGAATATAAATAATTATGTCAAGATAATTTTTACTAACTGGAGCCATCCTAAACAATCTACAAAAGGGAAAAGTCAGTCAAACTTTTCATACCACCTCATATCACTATTATGTATTTTTGTATTTTATATACTCAATACCATAGTCCTGGTATAATAATTATTTGGCTTACTGTGTTTACTTTTTATTTGGAAGAATATTATTTAAGTAGAAAACAGGGGCTGGAGATATGGCTCAGTGGTTAAAAACACTGGTTGTTCTTGTAGAAGACCCAGGTTCAAATCCCAGCACCCACATGACAGCTAACAACTGTCTGTAACTCCAGTCCCAGCAGAGCTGATAGCCTCTTCTGACCTTTTTCCATGGGCACTGCAGGACACAGGTGCACTTACCTACATGCAGGCAATACAAGCATACACATAAAACAAAAAAAATTTTTAAAAAGAAGTAGAAAATACTACTTTTCTTGTGTATGCAGTAAATCCAAAATGGGATTCATATGTAGAACTAGAATGAACACCAGCTGAGGGACAGAAGATCTGCATTACAGTCCCAGAAAGCCACTTTGTAGCTATGACCTTGAATAAATTATTTCCCTCCTATTTGTGTCTTAAGATTGACTGTAAAGAAGTGATAGCAATATATACTTGTGAGTCATTAGTGGATAAAGTACTTAACATATATCTGAAGGTATCTTATAAAAGCTGTAAATTGTTAAACACAAGGACAATCATTACAAAGGAAAATATCATAATACATATCCTCTTGTAGGAGGATACGTGCAAAAAATTTTATTACTTTAAAAACTGTGTCTGATCTGTGCATGTCAGAGTCTAGAGGAAGGCTTTGAGTATCCTGAGCTACCACTTTCTACTTTATTCTGTTGAGACAGAGAGTCTCAAGGAACCTAAAGCCCACTATTTTGGCTACAGTGGTGAGTCAGCAAGCTCCAACGATCCTTGTCTCCACCTCCTAACATTGGGAATATAGTATGTATAGGTATGCCCACCTTTTTATATGGGTGCTAAGGAGTCAAACTCAGTTAGTAACTAAGTTACTAACTTAGTTAGTAAGAACTCTTAGTTACTGAACCCTTGGAGTATTTTTGATATAGATACTACCATGCTAGGCGCTCTCTGGTCATCATTAGATTTGTGACAAGGGTGAAATCATCCCTCAGAAGAAAGGTATGGGCAGTGAGCACAATTGTACATTACATATTTTATAGGTCCTATTTCCTTTAGCATCTGCAGAGCTAGATATGAATTTCAGGAGCACCAGCCTACTATATTTTCATGACTTCTGGCCTCCTTCTTAAAGCCAAGAATGACAGGTGAACAACAACCACTCTAGAGCATAAATCTGTGAAGGAGACCTGTGGCAGAGCTTCAGGACCCACAAATACTAGGACTGGCTTACCCCTGTCCAGCCACACGACATTGGAGAAGGTAAACCAGCACAATTGAAAGGCTAGATTAGATGTGCACTGAGAGCCCCAAATACTCAGCATTCTGAGTCCCAAACATCCCTGGCACTTTACCAGAACAGATGATTGACCACTTAATATTCTTCTATCTTTTCTCAAAGCATAAGAAAATGTTTAAGCACAACTCAACATAAATAGACATCTGAAATAGAGAACCAACATAGCTTTGGATCCATTTAAGATGAAATACATAGATTATTCAATTATGAAATATTTATTTTTTCCACATAGAAATGAAATTACAATTATAAAAGTGAATTAAGAAACAAGGTGTAAATACAAACTAAGTTTTATAAGGTGACTTGCTACAAGTCCATGACAAGATGATGATCATTCCATAATTCTAGATTCTATAATTCCAACACAGTTTGGGTATTTTATTTATCTAGAAGAATGGTATCCTAAATTTTTTTACTACATTTATTTACTTATATATTTATTTGTGTATATGTATGTGGGGGGGCACACATGTGCCACACTGTACTTGTGGAGGTCAGAGGACAATTTGCAAGATTCAGTGGTTCTCTCCTTCTACCATGTGGGTCCCAGGGATAGAATTCAGGTCATCAGGCTTAGAGACGAGTGCCACCTGCTGAGCCATCTCACCAGCTCAACTGCTGCCTTTTAAAAATTATTTCCCCTCACATTTTTTAGTCCATTCTTAATACAGAAAAAAGTTTATCATACAGTTACATAGAAATATTAAATAAACATTCAAAATAACTTCAAAATATATTTACACTGAAATATACAGAGAAAATAGTTGCTGAGTCAGAAAACATTATTTTTTTCCCAAAATTTAATGGAATTTAAATTTAAATTGTGAATATGAAGCAAGGGATATTTGTCTCACAAGGTAACTATGAGTCCAAGTTTTATATGACAGACATGTACAATAACAGCATATATACAATGCTAATTTAGGCTTTTGATCTCTAAGAACTGAAGCTTTCAGTGACAATGTTTAGATATGCAATTTTGCCTAGTGGACTTCAAATTTGTCACAAGAAACAAATTTATATAAATGGCTTCACCTCTTCCCCAGAATAGTTACATGAAAGTAGACATCTTTAAGGCAGAAAAATATCTCTCCAAAATGCAAAGGGCCAAAGAATATGTTTACAAAGGAATATAAGTTCTCAATTATTCATCTTAGCAAGTGACTTAATTTGCATATCTGCCTTTTCTACTACCTCCTGATTTCTGATTCTAAGTTTTTTCTGCATTTATTATGCAAAACATTGGGGACATGTTAGATGTGGTGGCTCAGGCCTTTAATCCCAGCCCTTGGGAAGCAGAGGCAGGTAAATCTCTGTGAGATCCAGACCATCTAGGTCTACATAGTAAGTTCCAGGCCAGCTGGGGCTACAGGGAGACACTGTCTCAAAGAAAACATTGGGAATATGTCTTGTGGTATGCTGGTAAATGTTTAAGAACTAACTCTTGAGGGAAAGATAAATCTTTACTTTTATAGCATTTACCAGTTTCTATGGTATAAAGTCTCTCACTATGGCAGATTTCAAGACATCAACAATTTGACAAATTGTTTTATACAATACCTTGAAACTGAGCAATCATTTCTCATAAGCTATGATAGGTCATTGCATGGTTTTTAACATCAAGTAGCCTATAATCTCATCATGGGTATTTGTTTTAGAGGACAGAAAAGAATAAGAGAGATAGAAATATATCTTATAATAATTACATTTTAATAACTAGTTTTAAAAGTTAAAAGGAAAACTAAAATCTGTGGTATTTTTCCACTTTTCCTCCTAAATTTAATTAGGAAATGAAAATGTAGCACATTTGGGAGAAAGTAAAGAACAAGTAGAAGAAAAAGGAAAGAAACCTAGGACATTCTTAGAAATATACTAGGAAGGCATTATGTCTACAGTTCTCATGCTTATAGAAGAAAAAACTTAGTAAGAGCAAACATAATGTAACTATTACAACTTCTTTAAGCCCCTTCTAGGTTACGTATCCTGAGGATTTCCCTGATCTCTTTGACTGCAACTTGGGTGTGATTACCTAGCCTATTTAGCATAATACCAAAGAGCATTACTGCTTCACACCACTCATACAATCAGCTCATAATAAAAAGCAGAACTAAATTCCATTGTCTGATAACTGATCTTATGTATAGCTACCTGCCTCGTATCAGATCTTGGGCAACTGCCGGTTGGGGTGGTCAGGGAATTCTTCTGGTAGCAAAACATGGAGTCTGCAGGTGGGGCATGTCCCCTGTTGCATCAACCATGGTCTAATGCACTAAGGAGTAAAATGATTCAAGTCAGAGTTTCAGATTTAGCTTACTAGAGGCAGATGCCATGTTATACATCAGAGTTACCAACCAACATGTCTTCTGGGAGAATCTCAAAGCCAAGCCAGGTACCTATGTTAACTATGGCACTTTCTCTGGCTTGCTAAGCAATATAGCTGGCAACTGCAGAACATCTTTTGGCCATTCTGTTAGACTTACATTTCTGCATCAATGGATTTTTAAAAAATGGTTAGTAATTCTTCCTGAAAAGGATATTGAGAAAATCTGCTATATTCTCTCTTTGGTTGATTTTATTTAAATATTTCTTTCATTTGCAATTTATAAAAAATCACAACCAAACATACATTAGTTACCAAAACACTTATATTGATATAAGGTTAGACTCCCTAGATGACTCTTCAAACTGTTTTCTATGATACAATGACAATAATCTTAAATTATGAATGATATGTTACATTTTACTTAAGTATTGAATCCAAAACCAAATAGTTTTGTTCTATATAAATAATGGAGTGCTAGGTCATATAAGAGAGGGTTAAGAGAAGGTACTATATTTAAGGTCTAACAGTTAATTCTAAAAAGCAATCTAGATGAATTATTTGCCATTTATTTACTGGGCAATGACAAAGAATAAACTTTGAAAATCTTTTATTTTTTTAAATCAGTATACTTCAAAAACTCGAAAAAGTTAGGTAGCTAAGTATCATTCTCAGAGATCTTTTGGGCTTATCCATTTTTCATATCTCTTCAGATCAAAGCAGACGAAATATGTAATTTTGAACAAGTTACAACATGTATTTTGATGCATGGATTGAATAGGCAGGTAAGTGGTCACTTCCCTGAGAAACATTTCTTGTCTAAGTCTGTCTTTTCCTTTACCAAATGATTTTTTTTTACACAGAGAACTTGGACCACTTATAACACATCAGTAACAGTTACAAAGCAGCAACATTAGGAGTTAATCCATATCAATGCCAAGAACAAACAAAAGATATTCCAGCCTTACATTTTTCTAATATTAATACTCAAGCCTCAGAATCTTCAAATTAAATACCAGAGGTTGGACAGATTGCCAAGAGAAATATTATGCCTTACAATGAGAAGGTACCATTATTAGACATGAACAATAGACATTGTAGAATATTCAGCAAGTGGAGGTAAAATGGCATTTCTGTGTTACTAGTTCCACCTCTCAACTGCCATGTCAGTCAATATTTCTCCAAATTCTATTTAGGGGAACTGTCTACCATGTACCATTTTGATCTCAAGGCTGTCCTTCTAAGAAACAATAGTACAACCATGAGTATACAGAAGAAAAGATATAAATGTTTCTATATGGTATCCAGAAGGCAAAGTGCAGAGTTATGCCTAGTAGGATTTGTGAAATGGTGCTGGATGGTGATGTATATATACTTTAAGTAAGGCATTATAACCTTGCTTAGCTGATTAATGGTAAAATGTTAACAATCTTAAAGGTTTACCTGAGAGTGGAATTTGTGAGCACAAGGCAAAACTGAAAGGTTTTCTGGAGACAGATTCTCATGACAGATCACACAAGGTTCCTCTTCTTCTTCTTCTTTATCCTGGAGAAAAATGGGCATATTAAAGCTTACATTGTTTATCCCCTCGGAAACCTAAATGTACGTACAGTCAACAACTATCTCACCAGATTATTGGTTCCTTCCCATGTGGAAGAATCTTGAGAACTGTGGGGCCTCCAAGCTGGCTTGGGGGTCTGGGGAGCATTAGGCTGTGATGAAGAGTGGTTGGGTGAGGCACAATTATCATTTGGCACAGGTTTTTCTTGACTCTAAAAACAGGAATATTTTATTTATTTTTAAGAATTGTCCTAAAATGGTACAAATTGACAGAAATATGCACAATATATTGTAGCAAGAGTTATCAAAGAGGTAAACAAGATTCGTGATAAATCTTAAAACAAATGCTGGCAATACTTGTTAGAGCTAGGTAAAGAGAAATACAATCCTACATGTTTTTCTAAATAAAATGTTTCCAGAAAATTAGAAAAAAAAATCCTCATTCTGAATCATTCTAGGTAACCTATAAAAAAATGGAAAGGAATCAAGTTCTATTCTAGTATGATTAAGAACTTCCTGCTGCAAAAAGAAGTTTCTTTGATAAGTAGTGTATGGAGACTATCACAAAGTTCCAACTGATCAAAATGCAGAGAGTAATTGGCCAAGGGGTACTTCACCCTAATCAATACATCTACAATGTAATCCCTGTACTTAAGGCTCAGAGAACATCATGGAAAAGGGGCAGAAAGATTGTAAGAATCAGAGGAATAGAACACTTGCCGCTAGACAATACAGTCTAGATATGGTAGAAATCTCCACAATATGGTAGCTTAGCAAGGTCTGCATAATACCACCACCAGCTGACATGTTGATGTGGATGGGGGAAATTTCACAGGGTCCCAACCTTTAGGTGAGGAATTAAATGCAAACAATGAGTGCTAATGGAGGGAGAACCAGGGATGAACTCCCTGATTATATATATATAAACAATAATCAAAAGAAGACAAAAAATTGAAAGGGAATTGGGAGAAAACACATATGAGGAGCTAGAGGGGAAGAGGGAAGGGTGAAAATGATATAAATACAATACTCATGTATGAAATTCTCAAAAAAAAAACCCAAATTTAAAATCTTCTTGTATCACTTATGAAACTGAAGCTGTGAATTTACTATTAATGATCTAATATGATTAGCTGACTCTCTTAGCATGTTACATAGGTAATTAAAACAGTTGTTACAGAGATAACAGAAAGTTAAAATTGTTCTGTTTTGTTTTCATTATTTATTTTACCTGAGGTTTCTTGGAATCAATCAGTTGGGAAATCTTGTAAACAATTTCATCAAATGTCAGTCCCGATAAGGACTTCCCATGAGAATCCTTTACTTGTTGTAAAAAGTCTGTAAGCTCCTTTCTGGAAGAGATCAAGAAAAGAGAAGTGCTGGTTTTTCCTTCTGTCTTAAAGGACATGCCCTCAAATGAGATATAAAATCCCATTCATACAATATGTAGTACATTGATTCAACTCTATAAATCTTGAATCTAAAAAGTCACCTGTATTTATCTGAAACCAAAATGAAAATTTCTAAGTGTATCAAATAATGATATTCAATGTGTTAACCAGTGATAAAGTTTAGCACTTATTTCTTCCAAAGGATGTTAATTGAGTTTTGGGGAGCTTATTACATGAAAATTGAGATTACTTATTTATGTACTGAGGTCTTTATACCTCAAATTTCCCTTAAGATTAAGTTATTTCTTGCAAAAAACTATACTTCTATTTTCTTTTAAATTTTTAAAAAATATTTCATTTATTATTTTTATTTATGTGTATGAGTGTTATGCCTACATGTAGGTAAATGCACCCATGTTGTGCAATGCCTGCAGAGGACAGAAGAGGCTGTTGAATCCCCTGGAACTGGAGTTATGGACAGTTGTGAGCTGCCATGTGGGTGCTGGGATTCAAACCTGGGTCTTCTGCAAGAAAAGTCAGCATTCTTAACTGCTGAGCCATCTCTTTAGCCCCTCTATTTTCTTTTTAAAATTTATTATTTTTTATTTTAAGTGTATGAGCATTCCGCTTGTATGTCTAAGTGTATGCAATGCCTTCGGAGGCCTGAAGAGGCATCGGATCCCCTAGAACAGGAGTTATGGGAGGCTGTCAGCCACCATGTGAGTGCTAGGAACCCAGATCATCTGCAAGAGCAGCCAGTGCTCTTAACCACTGATCCATCTCTTAAGCCCTGTTTTTTTTTTTTTTTATCTTTCTCAGTGTTAACTGTTTTACTTTCATAAAACTCAAAGACAAAAATAAAGATTAAACAGAAAAGCAAACAAAAATATATTTATTAGATGATAATGGAACTAATCTGTAATTATTTTAATCAGTATTTTCCTTTTCCCCCCAAGTCCAGGAATCCAAACCTTGTAGGTACACTTTGATAGCAAGTGCAGAATGGAGTATTTGTCATGTCATTATGGAGAAGTGTCATGTCATTAGCCTTAAACAATTACCTTTGGCTTATGATTTTTATCCTTATTCATAATTACATGGTATTTTATGTTTTATTATGAACCTTACAAAACCACAATCTAATTCTGATAGCAATGGTATGTAAAGTGCTAGTTTTCAAATGAAAACACTAAGGAACACTAGACTTTTTCCTCATATATAAGAGTAGATATTTTATAATTAAATATCTTTCTGTTAAAGTCTGACTGTGAAAAGCCAGAAAAGTCATGACTTCTTATGTTGAACTGTGTCTCCTAACAAATAAATGATCAGGATTCTCAAAAAATTAAGATATAGGAGCCCACCCTGTGGCTCTGGCAGTGGAACATGGGGCGTGGGCCCAGCTGCTTCTCTTGGAGTGTGGAACTGTGTGTACTTGCACCCAGGAGGTAGCTATGAGTGCTCCACAGTGCTGCACTCATTGTGACTTTCCTGCTGGGCCTGCAGGAAGCCACCAAGCCATGTACCCATGGCTGGCCAGCCATTATCACCCAGGTGACCAACCGCAAGGAGAATGAGGGATATCAACGGGAGCAGGAAAGAAATGACTTGGCAAGTAAGAAAGAAAATGGGTGGAGAGCCAAGACGGTGGCAGTGGTGGCTCTCAGCAAAACATGACTCCAGTAAGAGATTATCTCCTCACTGGTTCCCTCTACCAAGAAGAAAGATGTGAAAAGTGCAGACACTGAAAAAAAAAAAAAAAAAGCCAACCAGATCCTTGATCATGAAAAAGAAAACACACAAGCCATCTGTCTCCATGAGCAAAAGTGAAAAAGTGGTATTCTCCAATTCTAATGTCTGTTTAGCAAGAAATTCAAGCCAGCAAGTAACTGTTGCCTCTATCATGGAACTCAAAATGCTTTATCTTAAACATAATCATGTAGACTGAGTGACAGAGATAAGAAAATACTAGGAACCAGCATAATTGAAATTATGATCCCTCCTGTGGGCTGGAACTGTGGTCCCATCCTATGAGCCTCAGCCTACAGTAACCTCCTGTGAATCTGGAGCTGTGGTCCCTTCTGGTGAGCTGGAGTTGTGGTCTCCTCCTGTGAACCTGGAGCTGAAGTCCCTTCCAGCGGGCCTGGAGCTGTGGTCCCCTCCCATGAACCTAGAGATGCCATTCTTCCAATGAGCTGGAGCTGTGGTCCCCTCTTCTGAGGTAGAACTGTGGTTTCTGTGACCCTGGAGTTGTGGTTCCATCCTGTAAGCCTGGGACTGTGGTTGTCTCCTGTAAACCTGAAGCTGTGGTCTTCTTCCATGAGTCAGAGTTGTGGTCCACTCCTGTGAGCTGGAGCTGTGGTCCTACCCTGTGAACCTGAAGCTGTGTTCCCTTCCTGTGAGATGGAGCTGTGGTTCCCTCTTGTGAGATGGAGATGTGGTCCCCTCATATGAGGCGCTTTGGTTCCCAAATATGCTATGGTTCCCCATTCCTCTGGTGGTGGATGGTGGAGCAGATTGGAGGACTTCCTGATGTTGGGCAGCAGTTTCAGCCTTCTCTTGAGTGGTTGTATTTCCTCAAACCCCCTCCCATGAGGTCCCAAGTTGTGTATGATAGTTGTGTTGGGCTTACACTAGGAACAGGAGAGGTCTCTGTCATTTGCAGATTCTCTAGAATGGACTCTTCCTACTTCCCCTGAGGGTCAGGATCCTGACTCCACACATGGTCTTGGGCATCCAGGCCTTGATGTTGGATCTCACCTAATCCCAGGCACCAAGATGTTTTCCATCATTTTTTTTCTATTACTGTTCTACCCCAGTGTACTTTCACCTGTGCTCTACGGAAAATGTAAATCACCTAATCAAACTTCTAGAAATAAAAATCACATTCTGGGAAGTTAAAAAAAAAGTACTATAATAACTAAACATATAATTCTCCAACTAAAAATATGTAATTGTATTTTAGAATGTAAGTTTGCGATTTTATAAATTTACTCTAATTTTTGAGTATTATTTACTGACAAAACTCTATAACAAGCTTCAACAATACTGTGAAATGTATTACTGTTTCTGTAATATGAAAAAACATTTATTTTAAAAAAATTAAGAAAAAAACTGAAACTTGATGATGTTGAAGTTTAGCAAAAAATCAACTCAAAGCTTACTTTGGTAATGGGTTACTAAGGTAATTATTGCAGTTGGTAGCATTAAAATTTGGGTAAGTTTACAACAAGTTCTTCTAAGAAATGAGTAAGCCTAATTTTAAGCAGTTACCTTCTCATGACTCAAAACTAATAAAAAGCAGAAATGTTTGGCATTTCTGTTAAGCACTCTCTTCTTAGTTTTATTTTACTAAGACCACTGTAACAAAGTACCTGCACTTTTGTGTGTGTCTATGTGTGAAATGTTTCACTGTTATAGTTATATGATGTGAAATATGAAAGAACTAATTTACTCCATTTCCTCTCTATCTAACTGAATAACTTTGGATACCAAATTCCTAGTCTATAAAATGATTAGGTGATCTTAAAAATCTTCCCCAGATGTTAATAATCTAAGACTCTCAAAGGTGATCTCAGTGAATGCTACCTATGTTGACAGGAAATATTGATACCCAGAAATTTCAAAAAAGAACCCAAATTTATTCATAAAAAAGCACTAAAGTACAATTAAAGTACCTTGTCTGTTGTGGAAAAGCAGTTTTCAGTCTGTCTGCAATCCTCTCCAGGTTCATCATGGAAGGATCAATGCCCAGACCTGCACTGGGTTGCACAGCCTCTCCTACAGGTGTTGGCATAGTCCAGGCTATACCAGTCATCTGCAAGGGGTAGAGAGTTAACCATCAGTCTCAAAAAAATAAGTAAAATATAGACATCCACATTTTTTTCCTTAACAAGTACAATATTTATAATTTGTGATTAACTATTTTAACTCATTTTACAAATAGATCATGTTTGCCTCAGTGATTAACAACATGTACATACATACATTCATACAAAGTGCTTATTTTTGAATTTCAAAAAATAGTGGAAAATTGAAAACCACCTGCAATCTGCCAATAAAAGAATGAATAAATTATATCAAGTTCTTAAAAGTAGATGTATATATCTGGGTATAAGCGAAGCCCATGAATATGTTTAGTTTTATATGGCATGGTATTTGTAGTGTGACTCTTTTAACATTAGAAATTTTAATAAGTACATGCATATTAACATAAAAAGAAGTCTAAGTCATGCAACAATCTATAAATAGTGATTTTTCCTAGGGAAAGTTACCTCAGGGTAACTTTACTTCCTAACTTCTATATTTCTATTGTATTTGTATTTTTCTTTACAATTTTCACATTTACTTTTATAATAGAAAAATAACAAAGTTAAATTTTCAATGGACTAAAGATGCTGATAGTATCAGAACAGCTTTGGTCCAATATCTCAGAAATGTCATTGACAATGGAATATGGAAGGTGTAGTGATATATCTAAAAAAAGCTGTGATGCCATCAAGATTTCTCTCACATTTTATGGTAGTTCTTCATTAGAAACATTAAGACTAATTGAATTAATATCAGTAATGAATTTTTAGACTGTTAATGTGGTTACTAAGGTAATGATATTCCTGACAGCTTTTACCTAAGCCTCTATGGGTTATCATCTACTAACACTCACTGGAATACCCTGTAAAGGCCTAACATGAAAGGACTAGAATACTACCTGGAAATATGATTTGCCTCAATCTCGAGCTTTTCTCCCTGAAGATAATCTTATTAGAAGGTTAACAGACTTTAATTATTTAAATAAAAATTTTTCCTTGATCTTTATAGAATAACAGTAAGCAAACTATATGAGCAACACAGTTAATCTGATGATAAAAAGATGTGGTACCTATTTAAAGTCTTGAGGCTTACTTTCATATTTGTTTGTAGATGGTGGCATCTATATATTTAAGTCCATCTGACCATTTTAAAAGGAGATTGTGAGCAAGATAGAAGCACCATATATTACTATATAAGTTTGTATATGTGTGTGTATACACACAGACATATATGTATATACATATTTATAGGTACATATGTAAATACATATATGCATAACTGCATAGAATGCTGTTATGTTCAAGTCAGGATTTGGAATTCTTTTCATTATCTAATATTATTCTTTTGGAAGAATATTTCTTTTTCTTGGTAAAAGTTTAGTTAAAACTATAAACAATAATTCTAGTTATTTTAAATGTCTTCATTTCTTCCTCAGGTTTGAATAAAGCTTAAAAGTTTAGGGTTCATGTTCCAAGCAGGCATTATTTGAATTATTTTTGTAGATAATAGTTGAAACACTCTGTGTGTCCTATACTGGGTATGTATGTAAGCTTTGTGAATTAATTTAGTTGGTTGGACTTGGTTTCTTTGCTTTTCTACCCAATAGTCATGCTAAAAATAAAAATGACAATCTATCCTACAATGTTATCTGTTAAGAAGTAAACCTACAATTTTAAGGACTTACTAGTATAAAAAACATATTTATCTTTATATTCTATAACTAAACTAATATTAGGAAATGATAAATAAGATAAAGGCAATAACAGGCAAAACTCAGTCAATTATTATCACCCCTGCCATTGTCATCACTACCCTCTCAAACAAATGAGCAAGAGGAAATATTTATTCAGGAATTTCACTACAGTGATAAAGAACTAGTTAATATTTATTCCACCAAGAAAGGCTCTTACCAGGGGAGGTCTAGGTTGTGCAGCTGCAGAGATGACTCCAGGGCAAACTGTAGGCATTTGGGGAACAGTAAGTATGGGTCTAAAGAAAGATTCCTTCATAAGGGGTCTTCCTAGGAACTGTTGTATCTACCATATGAAAGGTAAAAAATAAATAAATAAAAAACACTACACATATATATTTACACAGGAAATGTTTACATTCACAGAGCAATGTAAATGGTAAAGCATTAACTGGAATTCAGATAACAAAGTATATTAGCAGTAATGTGTCAGAATACTACTTACATCTATGAATATTTGAAAAAGCAAAGGGCAGTGAGATAGACTAGAAAGAGCAGTGATAAAAATGGAAAACAGAAATAGTTTACTCCTCTTTTTCTCTATCTAGCTCAATAGGGTTGGATGTCAAATTCCTAGTCTATAAATCGAGATGGTTGGAAGAGGTGATCTTTAAGACCTCCACCAGATGTTAATAATCTAAGATTCAAAAGTGATCTCAGAGAATGCTACCTATGTTGACAGGCAATACTGATACTCAGAAATTTCACAAGAGAACTCAAAGCTATCCAGAGAAAATCCTGCTTTCTTTATTATGTACTGACAATACCTCTTGATGGAATCGTGACTTTATGTTTAGCTTCAAAGAGAATGGAAGAATGAAGTAGGGTTGGTCAGGGGGATACTGTCCCCTAGTGCTCAGCCTGTGGATTTGACTGCATTCCCAAAGGGGTTGTTGGCAGTTGTCAATGGGAGAGAAACATTAATTCTTGAATACAGAAGCAGACAGGCTTATATCCACAGTGTGCTAGGTCTAGCATGCGCATAAAGCAGGAGTACAATAGTAATTTGATGAAGTGAAAGAAAAGACATTAACATATTTATAAGTAATGATCCTAAAACAAGAAAGTAAAAAATTAATAGATGGGCTGACAATTGATTTTTTTTTTTTCAGACAGGGTTTCCCTGTAGCCCCAGCTGGCCTCAATCTCACACAGATCTGCCTGCCTCTGCCCTAGGAATGCAGGGATTAAAGGCCTGTACCACCATGCCCAGCACCACAATTGATTCTTAATTAGTAGAGAACAGATACTGGCCTTATAAGTAAGAAAAGACATTTTGAGACAATTAGGGAAATGAAAATTCTAACTGGATATTAGAAATCAAAATTATCCATAACTTACAATTCTTTTAGATACGATAATGATGTTATGATTATATCCAACAATAATTCTTTATCTTATAGGATACATACTGAAATTATGTGATGCCCATGGTTTGGATTAAAAAATATTCCAGGGAGAATAAGAAGATGACATAAAGACCGTTAGTACTGATTATTAAAGTTGGATATTGTGTGTGTGTGTGTGTGTGTGTGTGTGTATGTGTGTGTGTGTATCATTTCAAAATTTTCATTTAAGTTTTAAATAAATAAATAGTGGGTACTGAATCAGTATTGCTGGTCCCTTTGAGAGCCACTACTGCCATATGACCAACTATTCTTTGAAAAGAACCAAGGGTCTTCTCTTTCTTCTGCTTCCAAGTCCATATAATGAAATGAACTGCTTGGCTGTGCTATAACCTTCCTGCCATGATGGATAGACCTCTTTGAAACTTTGAGCCAAAACATATTCTTCCTCCCTGAAGTTGTTTTTGATAGATACTTTGTCACATAAAACTTCATCATAAACTATAAAACAAGTACAGAAAAATTAGGATCTAGTAATGAGGTAACTGATAAACAATTTGAACATACAGTTTTTAGGCTGTTGGAACTGGTTTGTGGAAAGAATTTGGAAGTGGTTGGCTGGAAAAACTAGAAGACAAGAATGCACATAGAAGTATGGACAATACTGCTGTCATGAGGTCTCACATGAGAACAGGACTCCATTAGGAACTGGACAAGAAGTCACTTGTGTTACATTATCTCAAATAATTTTATCATCAATAAGTAGAACTGAAGTTTCCAAAATTCTAATACAAGCATGTGTGCTAATACTGAAAGCCATCTGCCCTACATATAAATCTTATAACTGTCTTAACTTACTATACCCAAACATATAATAATAATAATAATAATAATAATAATAATAATAATAATGGGTTGTAAGTACTCTAGTCTCTAAAGTTCAGAGACTTATATCTGATTAAATCCACTGACTTCTAACAAGTAGAGAAGGGGCATAAGTAGAAGCTGTCCTTGCTGTCAAAGATACAGTAGATTATAAAACTTAAACAAAAGAAAGTCTAGAAGTGGAGGGGACTAAGTCCCTAGAAAAAGGTTCCTAGGGTATTTATTATGCTGAGATGTTTCAGTTATCTAGTGCTGACATGAGAACAGTGAGGATCCTGAGTATTCATCAGTTATCTTTCACAATGTAGAGGAGTTTGAGAGGATGAAATAGTACTCTCAGCGCTAAAATGCATAACTAAACCTCAGTGATATAATAGTCTACTGGTCTCAGTCAAATTGTATTGTCTGATTACTGTCATGTGCTAATTATATCAGCATGCTTTGGTCATCAGTGGCAACTAGTATTTACAACATGTACCTAATTCCATCTTGAGCACACATCAAACACACTGTATATTCTGTATTTTATACCTTACATTTTATCAAAATGAAGATATCAATTTCTGAAAACATCATGTTTCTTACCAGTATCTCAGGACTCGGTGGTGGTGGGGGAAGCTGGACTGGAGGCAAGGTACTCAAGGCAAATCCTTGCCTCACTTTATTGATTTGTTCATTGTATTGTGTCTGATAGAAGAAGAAAAACACCTATTTAGAGGATAGCTATATGTAAAGAAATCATATATAGCAATACTTGAAAATAATAACATAAACTAGTGGTTCTGAATTTACTGACAGAAAAACAGACCAGTTTATATATAATAATTCTCAAGACTTTCATCCTCACACTTAAATTAGGCATTTGTTGATAAGATACAGTGACTCTGCTGGATAGCTTTAAGTTGTCAACTTGACAAACCTGGGTAGAGGGAGCCTCAATTGTGGAACTGCCTCCATTTGACTGGTCTGTGGTCATGTCTGTGGGGTATTTTCTTCATGAGTGATGTGTGAGGGCCTACTCTACTGTGAGCGTAAGTACCACCCCTGGGAAGGTTGTTCTATACTGTATAAGAAATCAGGCTGAGCATGGGCCAGGAAAGTAAGCCAGGGGGCAGCATTCCTCCAGCCTCCAGGTTCCTGCCCTGAGTTTCTACTTGGGCTCCCTCAGTGATGAACTGTGACCCAAGAGATGTAAGATAAAATAAACCCTTTCCTCCACAGTAGGTATTAGAGTGTTTTGTCACAGCAATGGAGAAACAAACTACAACAGTGACATAATTTAGCTCCTGTGGTAACTCTTTAGCGTTTCCATCATTTCCAATTCCTAATAGGAACCACTGACAAAAAGTGAATTAAGAGTAAAAAATCTAAAGAGTCAAGAACCTGTAAGAAACACATAGGCTGACAGGAAAAAACACATTTAGAACAAAAAGTTGAAGTCTGTCAATGTTCCTTTGTAAAACGTGAAGAAAAAAATGCTAGAGAATACTATTAAATATACATATTTGTTTATCTCTAGCTTGCTCCAGTTCCAAAATGTTTTATTGTCTTAGATTTGCGAGGACGAGAGTAAGAGTGAGAGCAAGAGAGAGATCCAGAGAGAGGGAGAGGGAGGGAGAGAGAGAGAGACAGAGACATAGACAGAGAGACAGAGACCAATCCTGAGAACTTAAGACGTTTTCAACATTTTTTGGAATTATCCCCAGTTTGCTTTATTTTTTTGGAAACAACCCATAAGAACCAAAAACAAAACTTTATAAAACAAAAGAGAAGTTTCAATGAAGAGGCCATATGCTTAGAAGAAGCCAAGGACAGAGAACAAGAGGAAGCTCTTTGAGACCAAAACTTTTAATATACCTAAAAGAAACGCTATGTACCACTGAAGATTGAGTAAAAATGACCTGGGGAAACAGTCAAAATCATCACTAAAAAGGTGTGCAGCTCTTTGCAACTAAGCATAATTTGTTTTATCTGCAGTGTTGTGGATTCAAAAAAATTCAATCAATGTTCTATAGCAATATAACATATAAAAATTCAAAACCCATAGCAATAAATAGTCATTAGGTTACCTTTTTCATGTTCTCAATTCAATTAAATCAGTAAGATTTTTGCATTATGGGATAATTATATAAAATGTTAAGATTAGAAAATAATACAGGCTACTTGATTCTCCATTTTATTCTATAAATACATTAATTATTATTTATAGTCAGTTAAGACATTTAATTATGAATGGAGTATAGTTGGCTTTAGAATTTTAGGAAAACTAGGTATAAGGAACAATTTTTGAGTTTATCTTTTCCTGGACAAAGGATTTAGAAGGTTACACATATGAGTCTACAACTTATATTTATCATTTACTATGTGAAAATAATGAACAACGGAATAAACTTTGATACCTAAACAAAAAATAATTCTCAAATTTCTTAATGATTTTCTTTTATAAACATGCCCCCACTCCCATAATTCAATTTGATTTAAGTACACTTCAGAACTTACCCTGAGGAATGCAATCTTGTTTCTAACATCCGCCACAATGGCATTCCAACTATCTACAGCAGCTTTTAATTGAAGTGATTCTAGGTTGCTAATGTAGAAAAGGAGACACAAAGAAAGCTCTTTCTTTTTAAATAACTTAGATTTCCAAAATTTTCAATTATGTTCTCTAGCATACATGTAATTAATATAAAAGAAAAAAAATTATCACCAACACCAGCAATTATTTCAAAAGTTAAAGATATATGGAAAGGCTTGTTATTGACAATAAAAGCAGAAACAAATAATATATAAGAATTCTCTTTTCAAAGGAAAATAATATTTATGCTTCTAGTATACCAATAATTTTTTTCTATCTTGGTGATAGTATAAAACTTCTTTGTACCTAAATACCTCCAATGAAGTAAAGGAGCAGAAAAGTCAAACAGGGAAATTGCCTTAATATGTAAGACAGGTACAGTTCTCAAGAATGCTGATGCATCTTAGAAGAAGGAGGTTTCAGACCCATCTTCATATTAACAATGGTATCACAGGGTCAGAATTGACCTATTTGGCTCTGATGTAGATTAAAAAATTAAACTGTCCCTGAGGACATAGAAACACACACACACACACACACACACACACACACACACACACACACACACACAGAAACAATTCAAACAAAGAAAAACAACCAACACTTCTCTGCGAGGATAAATGAGATTATTGCCATGGTTAAGTGCATAAAATGTACAAATGTACAAGCACAGCAGATGCAGGGACTCAATTCAATAAATAGTTAAGGCAGGAACAATCTTGAAATTTTTAGTGCCTATTCTTTCTGGATGAGACTCCATGTGGATTTCC